ACAACATTGAACAGATCGTTTGACACAAACGTTACGCAAATCGGATTAAAAATGAATTCTGGAAATCGATTTGGGCAAAAATGAGGCAAACCAATATGGCGACAAACATGTTACTTCCGGTACGATTTTTTTTAGTTTAAAAGGTTTGTATTAAGGCTGGTAATATAATGCATATGTTACTTTTGACATAAATCAATTCCACCGGAAGTGACGCCACCGGAAGTACTAACATCGAAACCGGAAGTAATGAAAAAATTTTGAATGTGTGCTTTTATTCCACTTTGCTGGCGGTCTACACTATGTAAGTTTCAAGTCAATCCGCCAAATAACAACCGAAATAGTATTTTTCGATTAATTTCGGCAAAAAAAAGTATGCAACGAATTTTCGAAAATCGAAAATTTTTAACTGCTATCATTTGCCCTTTGTTACAAGAAATACAATGAAAGAAACCCGATCAAAATCGGTTGATAAACATGCCCTGTAGAGGCGATTTTCTGTTTGTTGCTAACGTCGCTTCATGTTGCTCAGAAAATTTTCGTTTTACATTCATTCCACAATTCTCCACAGGTTAGAAAACATGGTGAAATCCGTTTTGCCGTACCCGTTGCCGTTTCCGAGAACTAAGCTCCCGGGATGAAGAAAAAAAAAAAAAAATAAACAGTCAGAAAACAATGCAGGGCGTTCGTAAAACGAACGCCCTGCAAAAATGATATAAAAAAAATCAAAGTAATTTAAAATGAAAATAAAACGTTGACTGGCCTGGAGCTGCCAAATTTGAATTATCCCCCTTTTGTGGAACCGATGGACTCAGACCACAAACAAATCTGTCTAAGCCTGTTGATAAATGTTGTCAGTGTGTTACTGGTGAAATAAATCGTTACATTCAGCTAAAACCAAATTTTATTATTTCCCTTATAGGTATGTTTTGTTCTTTCGTGTAATTTCGGCTTGTCATGACTCAAGGGTCAATCAGAGTACACATGCCGCTGTCCTTGCAAAACTGTTTTCATTGCATACAAGTGGCGCTTGCCAGTCCTCAATAGCTTAAACAGATGTAGAAAGTAGTACGTTAAATTCCCTTTCATCTCATTTTTTTTATGCTATAAAACAATTTCATTTTTGTTTTTAGATAGTTTCAGAAACTGAAAGAGCAGGCAATTTTCAGAACTGCCATGGACAAGTCGGAAATTGGAAAGATGTTTTGGAGAGACTTAAAGGTTTTTTTAAGGATCAGTTGGCTTGGTTTAAAAATCAAGGTCATTATGACTCACATTATGAGGATGATAGGTAATCTTAAAATATTATAGGGTTTTGTACAACTCACATAGTCCTCTTCTTGTCTTTAAAATTGTGCATTGTCTTATGTCTACCAATTATAGGTGTTTGAATAGAAGAAAATGTCAATGCATGATTCCATGAGATGTACTCCCATCTCAAGATACTGATATTCATGAATCTTTTAGTTGATCTGAGTTGCACTTCTTCCATTATCCTAATGGCCAGTCCAGTTTCTGATTCACTTAAATGGTTGTTGTTCATTTGCATGACTTATATTAAAGATTTAATATTTGTCCTGATAATGGGATGAATTTTATGATTAATTCTAGGTTATTATTAGTATTTCTAGTCATTGAAAAAGAATTAAACATATTCAGGAGAACTATATGGAATAATCATAGAATTCGCCATCAAAAAATACCAGATTACCAGATGGTATACCAAATCATATATATGACTTTCATCAGGAATATTCATTAAAAGAGTGTGGTAATTGCTATATTCACAAAATCCAAGATATCACAAATTGATGTATTTGATTAGGCGCAATGAAATTTGTGAGTGTTTATTTGCACGTTCCTACTCTGCCATGAAAAGGTTTGCGTACGAAGGGGTGAATCGTTTGCCCATTGCCTGTCCCTGAAGTTTGTAAATATGTTTTATCATTAAATGTGAAATCGTTTCGACTAAGACAAATCTCTAAAAGCTGTAGAATTGCACCACCGGGTCTGTTTGGGTCTGGGTTTCTATTAAAAGCTTTACGAACTGCCGTTAAACCAGTAGTGTTATCGATATTGGTATACATAGAAGAAACGTCGATAGAAATTAAAATAGCATTAGAGGGAACTCGAAGATTTTTTATTTTATTGACAAAATCGGTTTTGTCTTTAAGATAGGCGCGATGTTGACATGCTAGAGGTAGTAAGAAATGATCAATGTATTCTGACACTCCATACGACTCACAACCACAGTCAGATATAATCGGGCGGCCTTTAGGGATTTTATTCGAGATAAACCACTCCTTGGTTGGATTCTTATGGATTTTAGGCAAAGTATACAAATGTCTCTCGCGACAATCAGGTTTGGCAGACAGATAGTCATATTGTTTCTGTTTGAGATAACTGGTTTTGACTAAATCGGCAAGAATATTATTAATCATATTAGTAGTTTCTTTGAAAATTGGTTTTGGTAAAATTGCATAATGTTTAGGAATATTCAGTTGATTCTCTGCTTCTGAAACGTAATCCTCCTTATCCAGAATGACGCAACATGAACCTTTGTCACTCTTTTTTATAACAATGCTATCGTCTTTCTTAAGTAAGTTTAATGCTTCACGTTCCACTCGTGTGAGATTAGGCTTTTCGTGTGTTATGGAAAAGTTCGCTGTTTGGCTATTCATACTCGCAAATGCTTTTAATATTTTAGGAGTGATGGTGGCCTGAGGGGGTGTCCACGTGGATTTAGGAATAAACATTGTTCTAGCACCACGTGGGGGTGGTTTCGAAAAAAAATATGTGCAGCTAAGATTTCGTCGAAATACCTTCAGGTTTAAGAAGTGCTCCATGTTTGTGCAGTAGATGCAAAACAGGTCCCTTTATATCAGAAACTCATTATTTTGTAAGCCACTCTACGAATAAAAGGTACCCGATCCAGGAACATCTAACATGTGAACATACGAATGTAATATAAATGCCTCGAAACAGTATGTAGGAGAAACGAAGATAACTTAAAATAACGGACACAATTTTATGGTATACTACTCCTTAGTTTTATTACACACTACATTTCAAAAATCAACATAGTCATCTTCAGGTGAAGTGGGGAAATATGGTACAAGAAGGTATATATATACACAAAAAATAACAATGGCAACAATTAATTAGGGATTATTAGGAGTAGGATTATCTTGATGATTATGATGACTAATCAGGCTCTGAGAGAGTATATTGAAAATTATAGGAATAGCAAAATGAACAAATGAGTGATGTGGAGTAAATTAGGTTAATACAAGCATCTATATTTCCAAAAAGCAGGGAGGTAGATTCCAACCTACAGCAATGGACAACTAAAAAGTGTTCAAACACAATCGATATTTTATTTCTACGAACTACGAAACGGAGTAATGCTGTAGATCTGTAAACTACTCACTTATTCTCGGGGGATTTTAACACACGTCCTTAACTCTCCAACTGTATATATTAAAAATAAATTATGCGATATTCGTACATTTCTGGTACTTCAAATCAACCCCCGCAAATGGCGAACCTGTCCATTGAATGGGATTGTAAATAGGTTTTCTAGAAATTTTATGTATGTGAATTGTGGGTACTGATAGCATCAATTTGAACCATTCCAATTTTCAGTCAGAGGGCTGCGGTTTCTCCATTTCCACTAGAACTAAATAGCTGATTGAAATGGTGTAAATTGGAATTATCTTGGCCCCTATATACAAAATTATTTAGAAAGCCTCTTTACAATCTCTTTAGTCTTGACCTATTATTGATCGATATAAAATAAAGAGTTTTATATTATTTACCATTAACACAAATAGTTCACTTTATTGCGTGGTACAGAGGAAAAATCTGCTTGTAAGGTGTCCATAATCAATTATTAATTTTCAATTAATTATCAATTATTAACTTTTTGTGTTAAATTAATGATAAATGGTTGTAAATTATGTTTGTGTTCTTATTCAATCTTGTAGATATGCATATCTTAGATCCTGTCCTGCTCAGAATACTTTTACATGTGTTTAATGTTTTTTTTAATTGTTGTGTATCAGCATGCTGTGATTTTATCTTTTTGTGAAGTTTTTGATTTGTTATTATAATTGTGATTTAAATAAGATAGTTTTGAATTATATAGATGTAATTTATTTAAGGAAGAAATGGATCAGCAAGTGGATAGAAAGAGACAGATGCT